ATATATTAGACAAAATAAGTGAAAATAAAACATATTAGACGTTACAAATATCTTATTATTATAATTATATTGGTGGGGATGACGATGATTCGGCTCCCTGGAAGTAGCCTGGCCTGTTCTAGCTATAAAAAGAATAACTGAACTAAAGAATGGAGCTCTTTAAAACTTTTGCGTTTTGAACCTACATGGCCGTGTTGGTAAGAAATTCTAACATTCGCGGCTAGGACCAGCCATGCCACGTTCATTGTGGCGAACGACACTCCCTCCGTATTCCATCGGTGAGATGGAAGTTCCACTCGAGTAATTTCTTCCTATAAACCGCTGCTTTAAAAAACAACTCCCAAAAGGATGCTTTCTCGATCATTTTAGTTTTAACCAATTCATGTCTAGCATTAACCGTTATCTTTCCTCTATATTCCCATATAAACTGTATCACAGACTCTGTAACTGTCTACCTCGAGTGACTCTTAGGCCTGTAAAGGATAATCATTATTGTAAAAAAAAAAATAATCTTTCTACAGCAAGTAAAAAAATAATAATATCCCAATTAGGTATGAATTGAAGCTGTTCAACGCTCACTTTCCAGCCTTGTTCAAAATTATTTACGCGGACTTATGAGTGATGGGTTATTTTCCACTCTACATCCCCTTTCCCACAGTCAAAGCGTCGCAAGTTTATTATTTCTCTATCGCTATTTCCATGGCAAGTGTTCAGACGAGCTACATTCATTTGCTGAACCAGTCTTGACTTTTAAGTTTAAGACGCGTCATGCCACATACACACTGTTGAATCATACAAATTCATTTCATATTCTATTAGTAAGGAGTAAGTTCCTCTAAGACAAATTCTTTCAGAGAATCACTACTTTATGGAAAAGACAACTTTGCGCCTGTTTCAACGATCACAACAATCTTAATCTCTCCAGGTTTACGGTCAATCTTTGTCTATCCTACATATCCTCACAATCTGCATTTACCTTCTCCACTTACGCTCATACAACAAAATTATTCAATAACCCTCTACCTTGAGTGGCTCTTTGACCTCTTCAAGTTCAGGGTTAACCGTTAGGTTTCCTTCATATTCTTATAAATCACACTTCTTACGCCTTCCTCTTACACTCATACAACAACCTCATTCAGTAACCCTCTACCTTGAGTGGCTCTTTAACCTCCCCAAGTATACGGTTAACCGTTAGTTTTCCTCGATATCCTTATAAATTTCACTTTACCTCCTTCTCTTACACTCATACAACAACCTCATTCAGTAACACTCTACCTTGAGTGGCTCTTTAACCTTTTCAAGTCCAGGGTTAACTGTTAGCTTTCCTCCATATCCTTATAAATTGCACTTCTTACCTCCTCTTCTTACACTCATACAGCAACCTTATTCAGTAACCATCTACCTCGAGTGGCTCTTGAGCCTTGTATTGAGTGAACATTTAGATAAGCAAAAAGAAAAAAATGATGACGAGAAAGGAATAAAGAGAGAAAGAGAAAATAAAAAATTAAAATTGAAAAAAGAAATCGTGGGTGGGGGAGGGTGGATGAGGTAGAAGCCTGATACTCTGCGTAATGTCGCTATCTCCAATGAGGTTCTGTCGTCATTATAGTCGACGTCTGGGCTCCGTAGTGGAAGTTGATAGCCCGTGTCTGGTAGAGAATGAAAACCATCTGCTTTTTTTTTTCTTTTTTTTTTTTTTTTTTGCGTGTAGAGAGAAGGGTGCTAATTTCATAGCCATTGTCTTGAAGATTTCATCCAGGACGGAATTGCCGTCGCCAAAAAATAAATAAATAAATAAAATAAAATAAAATAAAATAAAATAAAATAAAGCGTTTCACATTTGACTTGCAAATTAAATAAATACATAAATTAAAATAAAAGCTAAGGGAAATGAAAAAATAAATAAGAGGAAGTAGACGTTAGTATGTGGGCAGATTTAACAGGCTTCAAAAAATTTCCCATTGTTCAACCGAACATAATTACACCAAGACAAAAAAAAAAAGAAAAAAAAAGAAATATCCTCGCACCCAGAAGTCTCTCAAATGCTTTTTTTTTTAAAAAAAAAAAGTCGATAATAAAAGACGTAGGGAAAAGTTTAAGCAGAAATTAATCGTGAAAGAAGCAACAAATATGAACTTAATGAATGTTTTACATCAAATTGTTTGCAATATTCAATTTACAGGGTGCCCAGTAAAAAAAAAAAAAAAAAAAAGCGGTAAATTCAGAAAGACATTAGACAACCATTGAAAACTGGTGACGACTAATATGACTGAAAAATTCAGGAAGAATTTCTGCACATTTTGTTATTCCTCACGTCGGATGTTCTTCTTTGAAAAGTACGATATATTGACGCTCGAAATCAGTGAATTGTTTAGCCATTCTAGAAACGCCGGAACCAAAGACGAAAGTCGTCTGCAAAAAAACTTTAAATGACGCGAAACAAGATCGAGCATCAATTAATCATAAAAGAGCCAATCAGAGTAAAGTAATTATATCAGAGTCGAATGATTATTCAAGGTAATGAATATTTAAGAAATTTATTCAATGTTATTCAAGGTAAATTATTCCTGAAAGATAAAGCAGTAATAATAAATTTACCGCTATTTTACTGGGGACCCTGTAGAAGACGAAGAAGCAAAGGACGGATTCAAATTTAGATTTTAGCAACCAATAATATAATGGACGTTATTCGACAAAGAAAACTTTAGTTGTTCGCCAAGTCAGGTTGCATGTTTTAGAAGTGAAAGACAATTTAAATGCCAAGAAAATGAAATTTGTCAAGCAAAAAGCCACCATTATTGGCACTGACAAAAACTCATTCTAATCGTAATTCTTCTCTTCCTTCCTGACTGATTCTGAGACGCTTCCACAGAAAGAATTCCAGTTCTTCTAAATTGGTCTTTTTCCCTACATTAAACATTTAGTCAATTAGAAAGCGTTCACCCTGACTGATGAAGTGTAAATCTTTAGGTGTTAATCCACTTGAGCTGGGATAAAAAAAGACAGCTTTGTTGATGATATGATCACGCTCTCAATACTTTTAACATATCAAAAGTTAAACCTTAATTTTCAAACAATGTCTATTCGTGCACATATGCTTGTAAAATATAGACCATATTTTTCAATTTAAAGAGAATTCATTATCATTAGGACCTATGGTAAATGCATCCGACAATTTTGAAAATTATTATTATTTCGACATTTCGCTAATTAAAAAAAAAAAAAAAACACGAAATGCATTGGTATGACACGAAAATTTCATGATCAAAATACTAAGAAAATACCAGAGGCAGTAAGGGTGGATGCGCGGGTGGTGTTAGGATAACGACTCGGAATTGTTAATCGTAGAGCCGAGTTCAAATTTCAGTTGTGTTCGTTATATTCACTTACACTCAAATACCTTGGGAAAAGCATGGATCCACCTTTACTTCCCCCAGCTGTGGGTTAATTAGTATGATTTGTACTACTAAGTTGTCATCATCTCCCAGAATATTCTATCTAAAAATATTTTATGGCTTTAAACAACCTGCAAAATGAAATTAAACCGTAAAAACAAATCAATCCATAGATGCGATCAAATATGGATTAGAATCCGTCGATAAGGAAAAATAGGAAATGCTTATAAATTTAACATGTCTGGCTTTTACTTAAGTTTCATCATGAAGCTTAAATAAATAGCGAAACATGTTAAATTTATAAATGTTCTTATTAGTTACTTATCATATATATATATATATATATATATATATATATATATATATATATATATATCTTCTTCCAAAACCCTATTCTCTAATGAATTACATAACATTAAACAAACACTTGTTAATAATGGATTTCCTAATTACGTCATTTATCAACAAATTAAAATTTATCTCAATATACTTAATAATACCACTAATAAAATTGATAATATTAATAATAATATTGTATGTCAAAATAAACATCATACTATTAACTTATATTATTATAGCCAAATGCATAATAATTTCAAACACTCAAAAACATAATAGGTAGAAATATTAAACCCATTAATAATAATAATTAAAAATTTAAGCTCATCATATATTATAAAAAAATTAAAACAATTGACGTCATAGTCTCTAATGACCCTACACCCACACAACTATATGCTCTATAAAAAAACAAAAAAAAAACAAAAAACAATGTAGTGTATAAGTTTACATGCCGATTCAGAGATTGTATCTCTGATAATAATAATAAACTCACTACATGTATTGGTTATACTACAACCACGCTCTCCCGTAGACTTACCTGTCATCTTTCTGATCTTAGTTCTATTAAACAACATTTCTTATAAAAACATAACCATATACATAATATTAGACAGATATTAGTTGATAACACAACAATATTTGTACATGCATAGAGTAAAAAGAACCTTCAAATATTGAAGGCTATCTACATTAAAACAAAGCAACCCACACTCAACAAATTAGACACAACACATCATATTGCATTTAAAAACATGGCTCTGTTGTTAATATCTCGGTCTGCCACGTGGTACGACGTCGTAGGACAGCATTATGAATTTACGATCTGCGCCTGCTATTCTACGACCGTTATCGTCGCATAGCAATTTTCTATATCAGTATAGCAGAATATTATCTTTGATGATGAATATCTTTGTTTAAATGTCCGCATAACCGCTCTGAAGATGGCTTATGTGAGCCGAAAGCTTAGATCAAGAAACAACTTAATAAAAAAATATCCAAATGTTGGACAATTTTTGTTTTTATTTTCTTCCGAAATTAAAGCAAATATACGACGTTTAGAACGGTTCATGATCAGACATAATAGACCTTCATTGTCTGTTATATTTAACAATATATGTTTAAATAATGATCTGCTGCCCCAGTAAACTAAATTTTATATATATATATATATATATATATATATATATATATATATATATATATATATATATATATATATATACCTCTCTGTCTGTGTCTGTCTGTCTGTGTCTGTGTGTCTGTATGTGTGGGATCTATCTATCTATCTATCTATCTATCTATCTATCTATCTATCTATCTATCTATCTATCTAGTCCTAGTCTATCTATCTATCTATCTATCTATCTATCTATCTATCTATCTATCTATCTATCTATCTCAGTGTCTTCAAATCTCATTCTATCTATCTATCTATCTATCTATCTATCTATCTATCTATCTATCTATCTAGCTCAGTGTCTTCAAATCTCATTCTATCTATCTATCTATCTATCTATCTATCTATCTATCTATCTATCTATCTATCTATATATGTGTGTGTATGTATGTGTGTGTGTGTGTGTGCAAATCGATCTATGTATTTGGATATATATCTATGCCCTATATGCGTAGTGTTCCTCTAACAGCTTTAAGATATTTTAAGAATTTAATGTAAGTTTTGTTAATTTATGTACACAGGTGCTTGTATTTGAACGTGCGCGCACACACACACACACACATACACACCACACACATACATACGCACACACATACACATATATATATATATATATATATATATATGTGTGTGTGTGTGTGTGTGTGTGTGTGTATTTGAACAAAATTTTCCCAAAAATGCAATTTAATAAATAATTCATTTAAACGAATTAAAAAAAAAAATTATGTGGAAATTCGTTGACCGTGTTTCCGATAAGTTTCATATTTGCCTCGTTTTGATATCCACCTTCGACCAGATCGTCATCTATTTCTTGCCTTCCTTTAGTTATTTATTTATCTTCCCTTATTATTTCATACTTTACTTCTTTTTTTTTTTTAAATTCTGTTTTATTTCCTCCATTACCTTCGCTTGCTCGGTCGAGCGTTTTAAAATTCGGAATCCGCTGAATCACTGAAAATGTTTTTTGTTTTTTCCTTCGATTAAAAAAGACATCAGCACCAAATAAGAATTGAATTAGATAAATTTTTTCCTCCTCCCTTCTCTTCTCTCATCTCCTCCCTCCCTTGCCTACTCTGTTTCTTTCTCTCTCTCTCTCTCTCTCTCTCTCTCGTCTTCCTTGTAAATAGCTTAAATTGGCTTTTAAAAATATATGTATTTTAGCTTACGAGTTTATTTTCGTTGTTATTGCTTCTTCTTTTTAAAAAAAGGAATTATGGAAATAAAGATTTAATATAATACGTTTTGGGTGAATTTTATAAAAATCCGTTCTTCCGCCATTTTAAAATATTTTTTTTTTTATAAATTCAAATATTAAATGAAAAATTAAGTACGCTATCCTGCAGAAATACTTAAATATAGATTTAACATGATTATAAATGACGAGGCAGTCAGTTGAAATATCCGCAAATTTAACCTTAAACGTTACCGAAAAATTAATTATCAGAATTGAGCTGAAGATTAATAGGCAGTCTAGTGGCAGAAAAAGATTATGTTACAGACGGCCTCTACCTTGAAAATCAGCTTTTAAAATCCCGATTTCTCCCTTAGCTCGAGCGCTGATCTATAGCACCAAGAAGGAAGAAATATAGAATCTCTAATGGTGATGGTAATAATAATATTAGCAGTTTTCTTATAAGGAAACATTTGGCATTCATTAACCAAGCAGCCAGTGCCTCTGCCGGTTGAAATTTATAAAACATTTCTATTGAAACAATTTTTCAGGAGAATAAGCTTCTCAAGTCCTGTAGTTGTTATCGCTCTTTCCACTGTTGATGGGGGTTTTCTTCCTAATCTTTTGTTTGAAGTAGTGATTTGTCATTATTTTCTCTTTACATGTAACATCCATTTTACTTATCTTCTCAAGGGTGCAGCTTCTATTATTTTATAAAGTACTTTGTATTTTTATAGCACCAGCTCACAAGGTTCTAAGGTTCTGTCTAACACCTACAGTTTTCATTCACTCAAACCTATATTTGATCTGAGAAAGCAATTATATACAACGGCCATCTTGATTTTGTCATTATTTTCTCTTTCAGTTACATGTGACATCCTTTTTACTTTTAGAGAGGATCAAAGAAAAGTCCTATTGAACTACTGACCGCTGTTTCCTGCCTAAACATGCTTTTAGTATTTGCTTGTCTCACTCTATATAGAATCACTACAAAGAATGAAAGGAAATGTCCAATAAGAAATATGGATCTCAACTTCCTTCCGGTATATGCTTTTAGTATTTGTTTTTGTCTCTCTATGTGGAATCAGCAAAATCAATGAAAGCCAATGTACTATGAAAATATTGGCCTCCTCCTCCTTTTATATATGTTTTTGGTTTTTGAATTTATCACTCAATTTGAAATCATTACAGAGAATGAAAGGAAATGTCCTATGGAAATACTGACCTCTGTTTCCTGTCTAAACATGCTTTTAGTATTTGCTTGTCTCACTCTATCTAGAACTTCTGGTATAACTTACATAAATCAATATAACCCTTTCCAATGAGTTGAATCCATTTTCTCAAAATGACTTCTTTGCTAGTCTTTCCATTTTCTCTTATTTTTTCTCATGGCTTAAGCAAAAACTCTCTGATATTCTTGCTCAACAAGTAAAACCATAATTCATTCATTTTTTTCTTATCTGTACAAACGCATACGCACAATACAAACTAATTAGTATTTCTATTTCACTGCCAAAAGAAATTATTATCACATAAAAGTTCTGTAAATAATTATATAAAATATTTTCTCTTAAACATATGTCCTTGTCTTTTTTATGTATGAACAATGTAATATCATATCACGGACATGGCAAGTGTAATGTTTGTCATTTCCTTATAAGAAAAAACCTCGCATTCATTAACCAGTTTGTGGTACTTTTGGTTAAAATTTATCAAATCTTTCTATTCAAATAATTTTTCAAAAATTTGTTTTCTCAACTTCAGTAATTGGTATCACTCTTTCCATTATTGATGGCGGTTTTCTTTCTAATCTTTTATTTGAAATTGTGTGGGACGTTGACATCTTGATTTTGTCATTATTTTCTCTTTGAGTTACATGTGACATCTTTTTTACTTTTTATAGAGAATTAAAGAAAATGTCCTATGGAAATACAGACCTCTGTTTCCTGCCTAAACATGCTTTTAGTATTTACTTGTCTCACTCTATCTAGAATCATTACAGAGAAGGAAAGGAAATGTCCTATGGAAATACTGACCTCTGTTTCCTGCCTAAACATGCTTTTAGTATTTGCTTGTCTCACTCTATCTAGAATCATTACAGAGAAGGAAAGGAAATGTCCTATGGAAATACTGACCTCTGTTTCCTGCCTAAACATGCTTTTAGTATTTGCTTGTCTCATTCTATCTAGAATCATTACAGAGAAGGAAAGGAAATGTCCTATGGAAATACTGACCTCTGTTTCCTGCCTAAACATGCTTTTAGTATTTGCTTGTCTCATTCTATCTAGAATCATTACAGAGAAGGAAAGGAAATGTCTTATGGAACATCTGGTACAACTTACAAAAATCAATAACCCTTCCCAATAAGTTGAATCCATTTCCTCAAAATGATTTCGTTGCCAGTCTTTTCATTTCCTTTTGCCATACGTGATTGAAGCAAAAAATCTCTGATGCAAGGGCTAGATATTACTATTCAACAAGTAAAACCTTAATTCATTCATTTTTTTTTCATATCTCAACAAACACATACACGCAATACAAACTGATTAATATTTGTATTTAAATGCCAGAAAAAACTATTGTCACATAAAAGTTCTGTAAATAATTATATAAAATATGTTCTTGTCTTTTTTCACCTATAAACAATGTAATATCATATCACGGATATGGTAAGTGTAATATTTGTCATTTTCTTATAAGAAAAAGGCTGGCATTCATTAGCCAACTTGTGCTACTTTTGGTTAAATTTTATTGAATCTTTCTATTCTAATAATTTTTCAAAAATTAGATTTCTCAACTCCAGTAGTTGTTATCGCTCTTTCCAGTGTTGATGGGGGTTTCTTTTCTAACCTTTTGTTTGAAGTACTGTGGAACGTTAACACTATGATTATGCCATTGTCTTCTCTTCCAGTTACATACGCTATCCCTTTTAGCTGTTACTGCTGTTGAAAGTCCTGAAGTGATGTGGTTTCTGTTATTTGGCGCAGTTCCTTGTTTGTGATTCTGTAGCGCCAGGTATATTTACCAGATCTCTCTACCAAATTTGGATGTGACCACAAGGTCATTTTAACTTGGGAAGCACCATACGCACACTTACGCATATGGGCCAAGGACAAAAATTGTTTTTTTTGCCCAGTTTCTCCGGGACCACTGTCACACTGACATCAGTATTACACCAACCCAACCTCTATAGTGCAATGAGAAATTGAGAGAGCTGAGCAACTTCTCCCATCTAAAATGAGGACAATCATAGCTCCACTTACAGTACAGGAGGGGGCGTCACCACTCTTTAGTAATTCTCTATTGGCTAATGGTTAACTCCTGTGCCAGGTAAATATTATTTACCCTGTGTCCCCACTGAGGCATTATGTGACACAATGCCGGATTTAATCCGGGGAACATGAACACGTCCGCCCGGCCCAGAGCCGAAAATTGCCCAGCCCCTGCAAACGTCGGTCGCACTGGCATCGACATCACTGCCAATCCCTCATCTCTAGTACAATGAAAGCTGGTACAGCCGTGGGCAGTCTTTTCGCGGCGACCGGACACATCTCAGTATTTTGTTTTTCTCAGCTGCGCCTCTATCCACGGAGATAGACACAACTGAGCCACATTCTGGCCGATGAAGGAGACGCAACTGAAGAGATGATAAAAACCTACCCGCCTTGAGCCAGATAAGTATTCTGTAGCGCCAGTCGTCAATGTTCAAAGAAACATGATCTTTGTCTATACCCTAAGGCTCCACTCGCTCAAATCCACCTTCAGTCATCGATCTGAGAAAACGGTTGCTTACAGTCGACCGTTTACATATTTCTGGGCGGAGGTTTTTATCATGTTTAACATCCACACAACCCATAGGATACGTGTAACAAACTTCACAAGATTTGGTGTTCGAACCTTCCATCCTTCTTAAAAGTCTAAACCTTTCGAACATCGATTGAATCAGACCTACTCTATAGATCAGAAACTTGGATATTATCTTGTCTTGAAATACGACTGGATGAAGCATATACAAATCTACTTAGAAAAATCCAGAACATCAGGTTGGAGATCCCATGCAACGCTTAATACAATTTACAGAGAACTGAGACCAATCTCTTCTAAGCTCAAACAAAAACGATTCAATCTTAATCCTTACAGTTTGTCAGCCACTGCCACGGAGTGGACAGGGAAATCATCTCATCCTTACTCCGATGATATCCTTCTGGAAGTGTCTTCTCACGAAAATTGTTTTTCCCAGATACCTTAGCTAGGGACTCAGTTGAACATTGGGAATTTGGAGACAGCAATGTAGGACACTATTAAGGACACTATTGTCTTAAAAAAAATTCGATGAATAATGAATTTATACAGTTATTGTTTTCATTTTTTTAAATTTTAATTAGAATAATTTATAAAGTTTTTAAATTTTTAAAAGACTTCATCATCCGCAAAGCTCTTGCATGGGTTGCGTGTAACAAACTTCACAAGATTTGGCACTCGAACCTTCAACTCTCTTTAAAAGTCCAAACCTTTCGGACACTGATTAAACCATTCTAATGTATGGATCAGAAACTTGGACATTATTTGTTCGTCTTGAAAGACGACTGGATGGAACATATACAAATCTGCTTAGAAAAGACTAAAACATCAGTTGAAGATCCCATGCAATGCTTAACACAATTTACGGAGAACTGAGACCAAACTCTCTTAAGCTCAAACAAAAGTGATTACAGTTAGCTGGCCACTGGACAGGGAAATCGTCTCATCCTTACTCCAATAGTATCCTTATGGAAGTGTCTTCTCACAAAAAAAAATTGACTATCCCGGATACCAAATTTCGGGACTCATGGTTGGATATTTGGGGTCTGGATACAGCAGTGTAGAACCGAACAATGTTGAAAGAGATTGTCAATGGAGTTCCGACCAACCATATCGCATTCAAAAGATGATGATAATGATGATGATG